ATGTAGATGGGGAAGTAGGGTCGAATCCACAGAGAAACGAATCTTTCTATTCCTAATTAACTAATATAATCTAGATTATGAGGTAACCAATATTTATATTTGAATAATGAACTAACTACGGAGATCAAGAATAAGGAGAAAAACAATAATAAGAAAGCCTAGGGTCACAGGTTCACCAATAATTAATATTCTGGGATAAGACATAATAATTAATAATTAACATTGCACAAATAACATGATTAACAGGCTCTCGCAATTTATTAATCAACATAGATCTAACAGGCTCTCGCAATTTACTAGATCTAAGTTCCTATTAAAAATAGCCTTTAATATTAAATTAACATCTGTTCGATTCATTAATTCAATATTGCTAAACATTCACAATCAAATTACATCTGCTCGATTCATAATCTAATTGCAAAGAATTAAAACAATTCAATAAGAAATTATCATGCAATACCAATAATCAATAATAACAAATTATCCCTTCATATTAATTATGGATCCCCATAAACCCTAGAATTCAACTACTCACACATAATAGAAACTAAACTAAACAAAGTGATTAAACAAGACATGAGAAAAGGAATGAAATAAACAACTAAGATTAAGAGAAGAGAAATCGTTACCAAAATAAATCTGGAATTAAGAGTAGATTAAGAACAAAGGTTTTAGAGAAAATAAATCTAAGAAAACAATTAAGAGAGTAGAAGAAGGAGAGAGAGAGAGAGTAAAAATGTATTACGGAGGAGTATTTATACTCCGTACAAATCCTAAACTAAAACAAACTAAAACGACGCTAATCGTCTCCTAATAATTACACGCGCCCGATTGGGCAAGGCACCGCCCGATCGAGCGCGCCTTTTTGTTCTTCAAGTGAAATCTCGCGCCCGGCTGAGCGCGTCACCGGGCACCGATCTTAGCTTCTCCCGCGCCAATCTTGGGCCACTATTTGGACTACGATTGACTCTAATTCTTCGGGCCAATCTGGGTTTCCTCTTCCGATCTTGAATACTCGGTCCAAATGCCCCGGTATCACCTATACCGAGCCCTTAATCACCAGTTCGATGGCTCTAACCGGCCCTGGGCTATAAAATCGGGTCGTGTTTCTCCAGTGCTCGTGATTGCTCTAAAATATGTCGGGAAAATACTCCAAAAGCATAAATCCCTGCAAAAGTCAACCAAATCTACGAAAATACTAGAAAACACCAATTAGTAATTGTAGACACCCAAATGTGTCTCCCCAAAACCAAACCCAGTGATGATTACCTTTCACGTCGAATCATAACCGAATGAAGTGAAAGTGTGGAAAGTCTAGTGTTGTGGAAAGTTTTATTTTCTTTTCTCTTCTCTTTGTTTTTGAAAACTTATTTTAAGAAAACAGCCAATCCAGTTTTGTTAGTCCATGATATGGGTCCAATAGTAGTGTAGTTGGATGGGGCTTGCAAAGACCTTTCCAACGATATATTATAGGCCCAATTCCGATGAATATTGAGGAAGTTATGGCCAATTTACCAAACTGGGCCCGGTTTGAGCTTTATATACGGCCCAATGATCTAGGGGAGGGCCTAATATGATTTATCATTCCTAATGCAATTAGGAATGGTTTTAGTCTTCTAGAATCTTGTAGAAGGTTCTTTTCATTCCTAATTCAATTAACATTGATAAATTGACTTTTGTTGACTTTTCAGAGCTTTAATCAAAATCAAATAGCATTTTCGGGGAAATTATATGATTTTATCCTCCAGTACGACAAACTTATCTGATTTTCAAAAACGCGTTAAAATTAGGCTTGGCGCCTGACCCCAGGCCTTGGCGCCTAGAACCAGGCCTGGCGCCTAGCGCTAGCCATTGGCGCCTGGCGCTAGTGTTGGTGCCTGGCGCCAGCTAGCCAGGGTTGGCGCCAGCTCTGTTTTTTGTGCGTCAGACTCTATTTTGTTTAATTTATCTTTTTGGCTGATTTTCTCTATAAATATCGTATTAAAAACTCCGTTTTCATTCACCTACAATCAGTTTTCATTCGCAATCATTAATTCTCTAATTCTCTCTTTAATTATTCATCATTAATTCTCATCTACATTCATCAACAATCAGTTTTAATTAGCATTCATCAATTCTTTATTTCTTTCTTTTAATTCTAACTTAGCTTTTCACATACAAAATTCCGCATTCGCAAGATCTAGAAACACCTAGCCATATTCGAAGTTGCCTTCGCCCTAGACGTGAAAGGTTTTAATTTCTGAGGGTTTGGTCCCAAATCTCTCTTTCAATTATTTAATTTAGTTGTTTGATTTATTATTTTCCTTGAAGTTACTAACGTGTGTATTTTGTTATTAGAAAGAGGTACGAGGCATCAATGTAAGTGCTTTATTGATTTTATTGATATTATGATGTAGAAATCATGTTTATATTGTTATTATGACATTCCTAGTATCATGTCTAGGGTAATTTTAATATTTAATATGATTGTTACGATGCTTCCTATGTTCTTCCTAATATTTATGATTGTTAGTATCATGTAAGGGTTAAATATTTGATTTTTATTGCTTAGTGACATGCTAGGGTTTGTTATTAATCTTGTTAGTATCATGCCTAGGATCTTGCTATTATTATTATGCTTTAATGTTGATATGATTATTTTAATTATGATTTATGATCATGATTATGATTATAATTGTTATAATTTATGATGATTATTATTATGATTATAATTTTGTCATGATATTGATTATTATGTTGCTTGATGATATTTATTGTTATTGCTTGATCACACTTTTATGCATGTTTAAAGGGAATTTGTACTTGTAATCACGCTTAATAAGATAATTAATAATCTTGTTAGGGTTAATTGTATTATAATTTCAAGTGATCGCCAATAATAGTTTATTTGTGCATTAATATTCAACCAACATAGATAAATGATAACTTGCTATTTGATACGATTTTAGGGTGTTTTGAACCTAGTTTACTTGATATAAATTGCGTTTTGGTTCATTTTTACTCTATTATTATGCAATTCTTGTGTATCCTATGCTTCACGGGTTGTTGGTGTTTTTGTTGAGATTCTAGGTTCAAAAGAACGACCAAATGGAGCCCATGGATACAAAGCCGAGGTTAGAAGCAAGAAGATGGATGAAAGAAGCCAAGGAAAGGAGCATTATAGAAGAAAAGATGAAAAAAGGGGTTTAGAAGACCCTGCACGGCTGTGCCAGACCTTGCACGTCCGTGCAGGATGTTCCAGAAAGCTTCAGCAAGCTGCCAAGGCCTGCACGGCCGTGCTTAATCTGGCACGTCCGTGCAGAAGAGGGTGCACGACCGTGCCAGACTTTGCACGTCCGTGCAGAAGTGCTCCAGAAACTCAGAACATTCTGCCAAGGCCTGCATGGACGTGCCAAATTAAGCACGTCCGTGCAGATGTAGCTGCACGTCCGTGCCAATATCTGCACGTCCGTGCGGAACTGCTCGATTCTTAGCAGTACGTTCTGCCTCAATTCTGCCCCCTCTGCACGTCCGTGCCAAACTTGGCACGGCCGTGCTTAGCCTTGCACGTCCGTGCCAAATCTGGCACGTCCGTGCAGACCTGCAGTCGAACTCCTTCCTTGTTTTCTCCGTCCTTTTTATTTGGGGGTCATATAAATACCCCTTTAGAGCTCATTTGTACGGGGGAGGCAGTTTTTCAGAGCTTTTCTCTTAATTTGTAGTCTTAGAACATTAAATTCTCAAATCATTAGTTAGTTCTCAATTATTAGCTTGGAATTATTCAAATTCAATCATTGTAGAAGACAAAATCCACCATTGTTGCTCACCTTGAAGCTTCATAGTAACCATTTCTTACTCATCTTTTCTACTTCTCTTTACTTTGTTGTTAATTATTTGCTAGTTCTTGCATGTTTTGGATTGTTAATTAGCTTAATCCTTAGTTTGAATTTGTTCATGAATTGCTTGAAATCTTTAATTGCTTTAACCCCCATGGATTGTGAGTAGTCTAAATTCTAGGGTTTGGGCAAAACCCTCAATGTAGTCACTAATTACTTGTTGCATGTGCTAATTTGGTTGTTGTGGGATGTTAATTAGTTGAGCTTAAGTGGTTTAATTGCTTAGTTCTTGTATATGGCCATTGCTAGAACTATTTATCCAAGCTTTCTCAACGAAGGATCGAGAGATGAACTTGAGTTAGCTCCCTTATGCTTGATTGACCCGAAATGCCATGAGAATAGGGATTACCGGTCAAGGGAATGTTTATGTCATCGTGATTATGCTTTAACACTTGTTTTATGCTATGTAACCACGAGAGTAGGTCGTATTCATGATTCAAGTAATCCCTCTAGCTTGAGAGAGTAGTTGGGTGCTTTAGATGACTTCCCCTAATTTATCCCATTAATTTACCTTGATTGTTGCATGCTAATTGTGATTTGTGATGAAGTTGAGTGGTATAACCCAAGCCCTAGATTCCTCTTAATATTGTTAACCTCCTCTTAGCTTAGTTGAATTGTGTTAGAAGAAGTTACTAAAAACCAACCCAATTTAGAATTCGTTTAGCTTATTTAAACGGTAGTACTCGGTGGTTGATTCAACGCCTCTCTTGGGTTCGACCCTTTCTTACCCTTACTATTGTTAGTGAGACCAAGATAGGAATTATTATCTTTGGTAGGCTCGACGACGGCCTATCAAGTTTTGGCGCCGTTGCCGGGGAGGCAAAGTCACATTGAATGTATTATTGTTGAATGAGACTAGATGTGTGTATATGTATAGTAGTTTTCTTACCTTAATTTTTGTTTATGTGTGTTTAAATTGCGATAGTCATTGCTAACGTTTTTCTTAGCTTTGTTTGACTTTGCATGACACGAAAGAGTAAGCAATCACCGCTTATTCCCGTTGATCCAGAGCTAAATAGGACTTTGAGAAACGTGAGGAGACTCTTGCAAGGCACACCCGAGTTTTCCATTGTATATTCGGATTCCGATCCGGAAGAGGTTTTTGGAACTAACGAAGAAGATAACATGGGAGAGAATCCTCCTCAACCATTGTTAAGAGACTATGACCACCCCAACGCATTCCAACTTCGGAGTGGCATACGTCTTCCCACCACAAATGCAAACAACTTTGAACTTTCACCTCAACTCATCCGTATGATTCAAAGCGATCAATTCGGAGGTAGTCCTCATGAGTGTCCTTTTGCTCATTTGGACAACTTTCTTGAGTTGTGTACAACTATCAAGCAAAACAACATTTCGGAAGAGTTCATCCGTATGCACATGTTTCAATTCTCCCTCCGTGATAAAGCAAAACATTGGTTGAGAACGGTTGAAGAGGGATCATTGAGTACATGGGACGAAGTCACTAGAGCTTTTCTTGGAAAGTATTGTCCTCCGGAAAAGGCCGCCGAACTAAGAAGAAAGATCACCAATTTCAATCAAGACATTGATGAAACATTGAGTGAAGCTTGGGAGCGTTTCAAAGATTACACAAGGAAATGCCCCCACCATGGTTTTACATCATGGATCATTGTACAAAGCTTCTATGACGGTCTTACTCCTATTTCAAGGGCCAACCTTGATTCCGGGGCCGGTGGTAGCCTCAAAAAGCTATCGGTGGACGATGCATACAAGATGATTGAAGAAGTGGCCAAGCATTATGCATATGGAGGTGATAGAAGGCAACCTCAAACAAAGAAGGGCGGAATTCATGATCTTAGTGCAATAGATCTTATTGCATCAAAGTTTGATATGCTAGCTCACAAGCTAGATCAAGCCACCCTCACACCCTCAAGCTCTTCCTCGCAAGTCATGTCTTGTGAGACTTGTGGAGGAAATGATCACTTGTCCTCTTATTGCAACTCAACGAATCAAGAGCAAGCGGCGGCAATTGGGCAAAGGAATGAACAATACTCCCAATCCCACAATCAAAGTTGGAAGCCCCAACATAACACGGGATGGAAGCAATACAACCAAGGCCCCCCACAAAATAACTACAACCAAAATCAAACCCAACCTCAAAACCACTACAACCAACCTCAATCACAAAACCAACAAGCTCCATACCGCCATCCCAACCAAAGGGATCAAAACCCACAAAGATCACAATATAACCAACCCGCTCCTCCTCCTCCACCTCCTCAAAAGACTAGCCTTGAGTCCGTTCTTGAAACTTTCATGACTCAACAAATAAGGAACAATGCGGAGATGAATGAAAACATCCAACAACTCCAAGCACATAATAAGATAATGGAGGGCCAATTGGCTCAAATTGCACAACAAGTTGGAAGTTCATCCTCCAATCCTAGTGGTCACTTTCCAAGCTCAACGGTAGTGAACCCAAAGGAGCAAGCTAAGGCTATCACTTTGAGATCGGGAAGGGGTTATGAGGGCCCGGTTATGAGTGAGGAGGAGACACAAAAGAGAGATGAGGGAGTTGTGGTGAGAAGTGAGGATGATTTTGAAAATGAAGTAGTTGAAGTTGAGAGAAAAGAGCAAAAGAGTGATGAGGGAGCCACAAAGAAAGACGAGGGAGATGAAGAAAGAATAGAAAAGCCCCCTATGAGAGTATATAAGCCCCCCATTCCGTTTCCTCATAGAATTGTAGAGAAGAAGTTGAATGAGAAGTTTTCAAAATTTCTTGAAGTCATGAGAGGACTTCAAGTGAACATCCCCTTTCTTCATGCTATGTCACAAATGCCTACCTATGCAAAATTTTTGAAGGATCTTCTATCCAACAAGAGTAGGCTTGAAGAGAGTGCAACCATCTCCCTTCCTAAGGAGGTGAGTGCAATCATCCAAAACAAGCTTCCCCAAAAGCTTGGTGACCCCGGTAGCTATGCAATACCGGTGAAGATTGGAGATTTGGAAGCTATGGATGCTTTATGTGATCTTGGGGCAAGTGTGAGCTTGATGCCCTATTCTATTCCAAAGACCTTGAAAGTTGGAGACTTGAAACCAACAAGAATGTCCTTACAACTAGCCGACCGCACGGTTAGGCTACCTTTGGGGATTCTTGAAGATGTGCCAGTTCAAGTTGGAAGAGTATTTGTGCCGTGTGATTTTGTAGTAATGGAGATGGAAGAAGATTCAAGAGTACCCCTCATTTTGGGGAGACCATTTTTGAACACCGCGGGAGTGGTGATTGATATGAAGGAAGGAAGATTGACTTTAAATGTGGGAGATGAGAAAATTTCATTTTCATTCTCACAAACTTTAAAAAAGCCATTGATTGATGAAGTTCATAGAATTGACACATTGGAGAGGGACTTAGAAGAGTTCGAGAAAGATTGTATGAAAGAGATCCTTTACAAGCTACCCTAACGGGAAGCTTTGTTGAGGAGGGTGAAGAAGCAAAGGGGTATGATCTCTTGCTCAACCAACCTTTGGCCCATGAGATGATAAAATTTGAAGTGCTTAACGTGGAGGCAAAAGAGGAGTGGACTACGCCTCCTCCTAAGGTTGAACTTAAACCCCTTCCCCCTCTACTTAAATATGCTTTTCTTGATGATAGTGAGAATTATCCCGTTATTGTCAATGCTAAGCTCGATGACACCTCTCTTGAGAAACTCCTAGTTGTTTTAAGGAAGTATAGAGATGTCATTGGGTACAAAATTGATGACATTAAGGGGATAAGTCCCACCATATGCATGCATAAAATTCTACTTGATGATGATCATGCTTCCTCGATTGAGCACCAAAGAAGGCTCAATCCCAATATGAAGGAAGTGGTAAAAAAGGAAGTTTTAAAACTTCTTGAGGCGGGCATAATCTATCCTATCTCCGATAGTAAGTGGGTTAGCCCGGTTCAAGTTGTGCCTAAAAAGGGAGGCATGACCATCATCAAAAATGATAAGGGTGAGACCATTTCTACGAGGTCGATCACCGGGTGGAGGATGTGCATTGATTATCGAAAATTGAATAAATCCACCCGGAAAGACCACTTCCCACTCCCCTTCATTGATCAAATATTGGAAAGACTAGCATCACATAGTCATTATTGCTTCTTGGATGGATACTCGGGATTCTTTCAAATTCCAATCCACCCCGAGGACCAAGAAAAGACTACATTCACATGTCCTTTTGGCACCTTCGCATATCGAAGAATGCCATTTGGGCTTTGTAATGCACCTTCCACATTTCAAAGGTGTATGATGTCTATTTTTTCCGACATGCTTGAATCATCAATTGAGGTATTCATGGATGACTTTTCTGTTTTTGGTTCATCTTTTGACACTTGTCTTTCAAACTTGATTAAAGTGTTAAAAAGATGTCAAGAGGTGAACTTAGTTTTGAATTGGGAGAAATGTCATTTCATGGTAGAGGAGGGAATTGTTCTTGGTCATGTGATTTCTAGTAGGGGCATTGAGGTAGATCGTGCCAAGATTGAAGTAATTGAGCGCCTCCCACCCCCTAACAATGTGAAGGGGATAAGGAGCTTTCTTGGACATGCGGGTTTTTACCGCCAGTTCATAAAGGATTTTTCAAAAATCGCAAAGCCGCTCACTCAATTGTTGGTAAAAGATGCCCCTTTTGTGTTTACTAATGATTGTCAGCTAGCATTTGATAGGTTGAAGGAAGCCTTGATTTCGGCTCCTATAATTCAACCCCCTAATTGGGAACTTCCTTTCGAGCTTATGTGTGATGCTTCGGATTTCGCCGTTGGGTCTGTTCTTGGACAAAGGAAGGACAAGAAGCTCCATGCTATCTATTATACTAGCAAAACATTGGATGAGGCACAAAGGAATTACACAACCACGGAAAAGGAGTTTCTAGCCATTGTTCATGCAATTGAGAAGTTTAGGTCCTACTTGTTGGGCTCTAAGGTCATAGTTTTCACCGACCATGCGGCCTTGAAGTACCTCTTGTCTAAGAAGGAACCTAAGCCAAGATTGATACGGTGGGTCTTGCTCTTGCAAGATTATGATATTGAGATTAGAGACAAGAAGGGTGCCGAAAATGTTGTGGCCGATCATCTTTCACGGTTGCCTATCTTTGTAGGTGATCTTGATAACTTGCCAATTGATGATTCATTTCCGGATGATCGACTATTTGCTATCCTTCAAGTACCGGCACCATGGTTTGCGGACATTGCAAACTACTTGTCTTGCTCTATTCTTCCTCCTGACCTCACCTATCAACAAAAAAGGAAGTTTCTTCATGATATTCGCCAATACTTTTGGGACGACCCCTTGCTCTTTAAACAAGGTGTTGATGGCCTTTTTAGAAGGTGTGTCCCGGATGATGAAATTGAAAGTGTTATCACAATGTGTCACTCATCACCTTGTGGAGGACATATGAGTGCTAACAAAACTTTGGCAAAGATCTTACAATGTGGTTTCTATTGGCCTTCCATGTTCAAAGATGTGTGGGGTGTAGTGAAAGCTTGTGACCGGTGTCAAAGAACCGGCAATATTTCAAGAAGAAGTGAAATGCCATTGAACAACATTCTTGAGTTGGAGATTTTTGATGTATGGGGCATAGATTTTATGGGGCCTTTCCCAACCTCTTTTGGGAATAAATTCATTCTTGTGGCCGTCGATTACGTGTCAAAGTGGGTAGAAGCGGTTGCATCTCCTACTAATGATGCTAAGGTGGTGGTCAAACTCTTCAAGAAGGTCATTTTTCCGAGGTTTGGGGTGCCACGTGCCGTCATTAGTGATGGAGGTTCGCATTTTGCAAAGCGGTCCTTCCAAGCTCTTCTTCAGAAGTACGGTGTGAGGCACAAGGTGTCATTGGCTTACCACCCTCAAACAAGTGGTCAAGCCGAAATTTCAAACCGGGAGATAAAGGTTATCTTAGAGAAGACGGTGGATAGGTCTAGAAAGGATTGGTCTACGAAGCTAGATGATGCTCTATGGGCCTACCGCACCGCATTCAAGACTCCCATTGGCACCACCCCTTATAAGCTAGTATATGGGAAATCATGCCATTTACCGGTAGAACTTGAGCATCGTGCTCATTGGGCTATTAAAATGTTGAACTTTGACCTTCAAAGTGCCGGTGAAAAGAGGTTACTTGACCTCCATGCCTTGGAAGAGCTAAGATTGGATGCATATGAGAATGCACGGATCTACAAGGAAAAGACCAAGGCTTGGCATGACAAGCATATCAACAAAAGAGAGTTCAAGGAAGGTGACAAGGTCCTACTATTCAATTCCCGGTTGAAGTTGTTTCCGGGTAAGCTAAAATCAAGATGGAGTGGACCTTTTACCGTCAAGAAGGTGTTCCCATATGGTGCAATCGAAATTGCCAAAGAGAATGGTGAACCGTTCAAAGTAAATGGCCAAAGGCTAAAAGCGTACTTTGATGCTTTTTTTTGAATGAAGAGGCAAAAGTTGTTCACCTTGATGAGTTCGATATTCCTCACTAACATTTGATCCCGCAATGTCGTCAAGCTAGTGACGTTAAAGAAGCGCTACCGGGAGGCAACCCGAATTCCTCACTCCCCCTCAATTATTATTATTTCATTTGTTTTATTATTATTTTTATCCCTTTTTTTTTTACTTATATATATATATATATTTTGTAGGTTTCTATAAATAAAAAAAAAGGGGAAAGAAGAAGAAATCGTGCACCATCAGGTCTGCACGGACGTGCAGAACATCGCACGTCCGTGCAGACGAAGGCAGAACCTGACTAGTGACATCTGAAGGTTCGCACGTCCGTGCGCTCGAAGACAGAACAGATTGCCATTCTGCCAGGAATCTGCACGTCCGTGCCAAAATCTGCACGTCCGTGCAGATTCAGCCTGCACAGCAATATGACGGTTTCTTACTAAAAAAAAAAAAAAAAAATTCGAAAAACGAAAAAAATATTGAAAAATGAAAAGATTGCCCAAGGATGAAACTCAAATGACGACGCTAATATGTTTTGCTTGCTTGACTCTTGAGTGATGAGTAAAAGTTCTTTTAGAAGGGTGCATGCAAGAGTTGGGGTCATTTAGAGGTCTATTAATCCTGGTTGCATTAGTGTATATGAAATGAAAGTCGATGAATGCTCAATTGCACATCTAGCATAGGATATTGTTAAATTTGCCCAAAGTAGGATATGTTTGAGTCAAATTGCGGTCCCTTGTGCCCTTAATGTGCCTCACTTCCTCCCCGAAATGAAACTCTATTAGGGAATTGGTTATACTTGTATTATGTGTAATAAGTGGCATAATAAGCCACACGTTTCGAATAAAGAAAGAGCCGCTCACAGTTAAAAGAGGCGAGGGCAATAATGTAAAAAAAAAATGAGAAAAAATAAAAAATAAAAAAATAAATAGAAAAGAAGGAAAAAAAAAAAAAAACTCCCCCAAAAATTCTCAAAATTTTGATTTTCTTTTCTTTAGAGGTCAACTTGTGGATGCCTCCCACACATTGTCGAATTTGTTGCTTATTGTTTCTTGTGAAATTCCCGAGTTAGAGTGTAATTAAGGGGCCTTGGGTGTGCATTTTGGGAGGTGGACTAGCATTTTGAGATTTTATAACCGAAAGAGGGCTCATTACAACTTTGGAATATCTAGGTGTGCTCTAATGAACTAGTAAAAGGCCAAAGGAAGTATCCTAGTGCAACCTTCTTTAGTTTTCCTCTCTACCCCCAACTCATGTGTACATTTGTATGATCGGTAATTCTTGAAAGTCGTTCACTTGTCTTGCTTGTGTCTCATATCCCGATGAGTTGACTTGGGCGAAAAATTGAACTTGTGCGATTTTTGGCGATGTGCTGTGGACTGCGTGAGTTGTGGGGCAAACTCATTGGAAACCCTCACGAGATAAAAACTCGTCCTCTAAGGCGACTTAGAGGTTTAAATTGCTTCTCACTTGTGCTAAAAGTGATGATGGTTGTCACCATGCGGATTTGTTTATGTATGCTTCCCCCTTGTTGCCTCTCCTTGGATTGATGATTAGCAATTTGTTTTCCTCCTTTGGTTTGACATTTTTGTTTTGCTCGAGGACGAGCAAAAGCTTAGCTTGGGGGGATTTGATAACTTGCTATTTAATACGATTTTAGGGTGTTTTGAACCTAGTTTACTTGATATAAATTGCGTTTTGGTTCATTTTTACTCTATTATTATGCAATTCTTGTGTATCCTATGCTTCACGGGTTGTTGGTGTTTTTGTTGAGATTCTAGGTTCAAAAGAACGACCAAATGGAGCCCATGGATACAAAGCCGAGGTTAGAAGCAAGAAGATGGATGAAAGAAGCCAAGGAAAGGAGCATTATAGAAGAAAAGATGAAAAAAGGGGTTTAGAAGACCCTGCACGGCTGTGCCAGACCTTGCACGTCCGTGCAGGATGTTCCAGAAAGCTTCAGCAAGCTTCCAAGGCCTGCACGGC